ACACTAGGGTCTCTGTATGAGATTTTAACAATTATTCAATTTTTTACCCCATAATAGGATTTAGCATACATCTATTTGACTTTTATAACCCATGTATTAGTAATACCTATATCCTTGGGATATAGTATTAGGCTCCATCCGTCCGTACGAATTGGAATATCTTAAGAACTGTTTACTAGATTCTTTTCATATTCGGTACCTGGTTTCATCTCATTTCAAGGTCACAAGGGGACTTTCACGTTTTACCTGCATGTTAAGCTATCTCAAGAATCGTTCACTGGATTTTCTTCATATTCAATACCAAGCTTTATCTCGGGAAGGCGCAGTGCCCAGTCGATTTTGGTGACCTTCACATAATTTTCAAGGTCATGGCGACACTTTGAAGATTTCAGCATGTAAATCTGCATGTAAAGCTATCTCAAGAACCGTTCACTGGATTTTCTTCATATTCAACCCCAAGCTTTATCCAGGGAAGGCGCAGTGCCCAGTCAATTTAATTAATTCACATAATTTTCAAGGTCATGGCGACACTTTGAAGATTTCAGCATGTAAATCTGCATGTAAAGCTATCTCAAGAACCGTTCACTGGATTTTCTTCATATTCAACCCCAAGCTTTATCCAGGGAAGGCGCAGTGCCCAGTCAATTTAATTAATTCACTTAATTTTCAAGGTCATGGCGACACTTTGAAGATTTCAGCATATTAAACTACATGTTATGCTTGTCAGCGAGATACCTCAAGAACCATTCACTGGAGTTACTTCATATTTGACACCAAACTTCATCCAGGGAAGGCGCAGGGCCCAGTCGATTTTGGTGACCTTCACTTAAGTTTCAAGTTCACAGAGACACTTTGAAGATTTCAGCATGTTAAATTGCTTATTAAGATAGTCAGCAAGATATCGCAAAAAATATTCAGTGGATTTTCTTCATATTTCACACCAAACTTCATCTAGGGAAGGCCCAGGGCCCAGTCAATTTTGGTGACCTTCACATAATTTGTAGGGTCACGACGACACTATCAAGATTTCAGATGTTAACAGCAAGATATTTTAAGAACGGTTCACTGGATTTTCTTCATAGACTTTCAAGACCTCCCTTGCATGTTTTTCAATAAGCAATTTCTTTAGTACTAGTTTTGCATATTTCATACACTATGACATTCATGTCAAGGTCAAAGTCAGTCTTGAAAATATGTGTGTGGTTGAACAACTAAAGAGCAAGATAATGTTTTTGTTGACATTTAACTTCATCTTAAACTTTCATTACTTTATAAGTTTGATTTGATAATTTGTGGCGGGGTATTATGTCACCTTAGTGACAATGCTTGTGTTCTCTTTGAAAATATCCCTAAAACGTACATATATGTCTCAAAATGAATTTTAAAACATATTCTCTGAAAATTTCAATTTTTTTACTTTTTACCCCAAAATAGGACTTCAGATAACATTATTTGACTTTTCTAATTCATCTGTTGGTAGGACATTTTTCCGTTTTGAAAATATATATAAAATGGTAAATTTGTGTCTCAATATGAGATGTTTAAAATTATTTACTGAAGATTTCGATTTTTAAACTTTTTAACCCCCAAAATAGGACCTAGCATCATATTTCAAGGGAGGACTTTTTTATACTCATTAGTTATAACTTAAACAAGTTGAAACCGCTCAAATCATTTCTGTACCAATTATTTGGAGGTTTTGTCACATTATGACTGGACTAAATACTTACCAGTCTTATCAGTGGTCTTATCACTATGTCATCCTTTTGAGCCTTTTCATGCGGAAAGGATCTTTGTCAGAACTATCATGGAAGAATGTTTTCTTCATGGCATTAAGGGGGTGCAGGTGCCAATATATTTGTACCATGTTTTACACCAAATTTGATTGACATTTATGAGGTCAGACCACTACCAGAACAACTGTCACAACCGATCGTACGTTATTTGTTTTAACTCAGACTTTAGGTTGGTTGATGTGAACCCAGAAACATTTCATGCTGCTTTTTGTGAATGTAACACCTCAAATGGTAGACTTCAACTTTAACAGAAAGCAGGTTATATCTAGCCAGGAATACAACATTGTTTCACAATAGAGTGGACAGTATATAAAACTGATAATAACGTCATTATGATGCAGACTACACAATGAGCAAGGTTTATCTATTCAGGAATAAAATTCCAGTTAAAAACAGACATTGCAAAAAGATGTCTGAAATTTTGCTATGCATTAAAAACAGTAAATTTTACCGATTTCTAGCATACACGGATAAAATCACTGTGTGACCGATTTTAGATATGTGGTCAGTGTGTGTGAACAAAATATACTGCCAGATATCAAAATGAAATAAGTATATATCAATCGGATTTGTGGCTTATGTATAATGTTATGCATTCAATATCAAATTGGCTTTCCATTAATGGTGAAAATGTATTTTCCCCGGGTTCAATTCCCCACATGGGTACTATGTGTAAAGCCCATTTCTGGTGTCCCCCACCATGATATTGCTGGAATATTGGCGGTAAAACCACACTCACTCACTCATTATACATCATGTTTTGTCCATAAAACAACATTGTCAAATGGCATAAACAAGAAAATTCCTATTCAAAATGTGTGCATGTACATTTAAAAAAAACTATCAATAATTTTTCAAATAAATGATATCAATTTTACTTATAAGGTTAAATTAAATTGCTGTATATTATAACCTGTTAATGTAAAAGGACAATATTGAATATCGCAGATCATAAGAACTAAAGTACATGTTGCAGTTATGCCTATATTTCATCTTCCAACAATAGTGTAAAGGTTAAAGATATGAATTACTGGGCTAATTGTGTCAATTTCTTATGCAAAAACTTTCAAACTGTTATTCAACTGACCTTCACCCCAAAGAAATTACAAAATATGTGCAATAATTATGACAAGTGACATGCCAACCAATGGCTGGGCAGAAACTTAGTCTGAAGTTAGCAGCAGGTTCGTTTTTTGAATAACGAATAAGATTGCTAGCAGCAGGTTCGTTATTCACTATATGCACATTATATCTATCAAATATAAGATAATCTATATCCAAACAACTGTTTAGGTATTCAGCACTTCTGAATAACGAAAAGCTAAGCAGCACCAGGTTTCTTATTCAGTTTATGTCTCCAAACAACTGTTTTTGAACAGGACTTTATAACAATGAAACACTATCCAACCCTGGTTTAGTTATTCAGACTTGGGACAACAAATTTGAGACACAGTGTTTTCAATTGGTTTTTTTCCATTTTCGTTATTTGTTCTCGAATAATGAAAACATCCCAGCAGTGGATTTGTTCAAACTCTGTATGTTTAGAACCACATTAAGTCATTCAATGACTCATTAAATGTTTGAAAGTAGGGAGTGTCATATACTTACCGTCGTTACTCAGTGGAAAACGTATCTCCTCTTTTTGACGCCAACATTAAACAGCATAGATGCTAAGTTGATGACTTTCGCAGTATTAATAAATGATCAGGCGTCTAAAAGAGCATATTTGGTAATCTGTCTTCCTGCTTCTGCTTCCTAATTCTCACATCTGAACAAGACCTAAATTTCCAACATCTGTAGCTAGCTGATATTATCAGTTATAACAGGGAGAAGGAGGCTTATGGTTTATGTGTATCACTGATCCTGGTCGATGAGCCACTCTGTAATAGTGCAAACTGCTCCTCTCCATGGTTCACTATAATATAGTAAAACAGTTTAATGCATATGTGAATGAATTACAACATATTAGAGGCAGATTTTAAAATTATCTTAATATACTTGAACACAGACTATGTTTCAAAGCATAAACATTGTCACTTACCACATCTGTACTTCTCTCCTGAAGTTCATGTAGATTGAGTGTCCTATAATGCCTACCCAGAAAATTTGACAATTCTGTTTGAATTAATCAAATAATTGTTATGTGAAGACTTTTAATTTCATAATTTTTCCTACAAGACTCTTCCCATGCATATTCTAAAAATATTGAGCCAATGTTTGCAATGAATTGGTGAATGGATGTCTAAAAATTTGAGAGAATACAACACATTGTAAAATCTGATTTTTTCTTTGTTTTCATTTCAAACAGGCACAGCCAGATGAGCACCGTGTTCATATTCACACCCAATATATTTCGTTTGATTTCGACTGATCGGGAAGTGGCTGCTGCATTCGGGTATTATCACCTCACAATTCTAAGGCTGCGTCAGCGATTCCAGAATACTGGCACAACTAGAGACAGACCCAGAAGTGGGAGGCCACCAGTTACAACCACTTCCCGATCAGTCAACCCAGTCTGCAGCATTCCAATGGCCCTCTCCCACTCTTCTGCTGTTAATTTAGGCATTGTAGTGAATGTATGGTGTGAAATGATAAATCTAGGGGCCTTATATACCCGTTTCCAACAGTTTTCACGTGCATTTCATGCAAGGTGAAGTTACAATTGGTACGTTTTGGCGTTATGCTTCCTTATACAAGGACAGAAATAGGCAAAATTTTACAGTATCTAAGGGAAAAATTAGTCTTTTCTCGTTTGACGACTCTTCCTAAAACAGTCGAAAGTCATGATGATCCAAAAATTAAACCTCAAGTGTTTGGAATGTGTTTTAAAGAGACAAAAATCCAATTTCAGCATTGAGTCCCTTTTTACGGTAAACAACCATTTTTTCATATCCAAAACCCAACTTTATCACTCTTTGTGAATGTGCATGCATTATCATCATAAACAATATCATTTGGACCCATTTTTAACTTTTTTTTACACTTTTGATTTGAATTTTTACATGACTGAAAATAGGACAATGGACCCCACCTAAACAAACATGTCGATATCCTAATTATCAATGACTTCCTCAGTCTGATGTTTTGACTCAATAGAGTTGCATGATTGGTTGTTAAAACATACCAAACCAAAGTCTTCTATCTGTAACAGAGGTATTCGTACACGTACACTGTATGTAGATTCAATGATGACGAACACTTGTGTGTGGTTTCAGGGATTTATTCGGCGCTGGTTACGTTGGATAAGGAGATCCCCAGTTGGCAGAATTATAACAAAACGCCCTGAATAATAAAATATCCATCAATTAATACATGTCTCCTGTCATAAAATACGTATCATGTTATGCATTCAATATGGTTACAACTATACTATTAATACATCTGATAACTGTCAATCATCCAGATTTAAGTAAAGACATGTACTCTGATTATTACTCACATATATAACAATTATAATTACTAATATTAACAATCACATTCTGAAAACAATACCTCACCTCGTCTCAGGGACGCAGGCAGAATAGTCCAACAGGTACTAAAACATCTGATTCTTAGTGAACCTAAATAAACAAAATATTACCTAAGTATACTGCTAGTATATACAGATATACATCATAAATGGCATTAGCGAACACATAAATAGTTATTTACCCTAATACATACATAAATATGCATATAGAAACTAAACTTTATAATAAACATGCATGATATACATTACTGTATCATGCCAATCATAAAATAGCTAATACATATACTTATACATACTACATGTGCATGATACAAATTAAAGCATCATGATAGTATACTAGTGTACTGGTACACAATACATCATATATTTGTCTAAAATACTAAGCATGCATATATTTATAGACAAACACCTTACATACACTAAATATGATAAAACACTATTCCTTAAAACATGTAATCTAATACACTAAATCCTAATAGCCCTACTATACATGTAATACTAAAAGATCTAACTTAACTTACCCCATAATGTGCTGGTGCTGTGCAGGTATTGCAAGTCTCAAGGAGAAAATGTATACTGCCACAAATGAAAGGCAGTAGAAGGCTTTAAATATGATGAGAAGCTGAAACCTTTGAAACAATAGGAACCTTGACAACAGGCCAATGCAGAGATTGAACCTGACACAGATCACTTAACCTTAACAATAGACCCCAAGCTAGCTTACCAGTGAGTTAGTTGAACAGTGCAAGTGTTAGTGTTAACACAGGCCAGTTTGATAATGATAAAGTTTTATACCTAAGTTTAAAATAATGAAGTTTAACACATTAAAAATGACATTTATTTACACACTGTTACATTCTCCTCTCCCAAGGAAAATATTGTCTCGATATTTACAGTCAGTCCGTGGAGCCAGTCACAAGATCTAGCATGGCTCTGTATGCATCTTTCGGCAGGTTCTGCAGGAGTCCATCTTCTGCCAAGTTCTTCAAGAAAATAGCTCGCTGCTGCCAGTCATTTCTTGCTGATGTTGTTGGAACTTGACTCATGCAATACTCTCCGCTGGTCTGCCAAGATGGAGGCTGATGTCGTCTTCCCGAACGCCTAGGCGGTGGAGTTGGTAGAACTCTCCTGGGACGCCGACGTGGGCTGATGTTCTGTTCCTCTTGTTCTTCATGTTCCTCAATCACTGGTTGGGAACTTTCATCAGCTGTAGGCTCACCTCCTGTTCCCCTCCTGAACCATGGTATCAGTGGAATCTTCTGATTCTTCTGGTCCATTGGGAACTTCATCTTCAGGCGGTGGATCAGCATCTGTAGGAACACTGGTCACTGAAGATTCTTTGGTGAGTTCAACAGGCTGCACCTTGACCTCAATAGAATAGATCTCGGACTCACTGTCAGGCTCAGATAAGGTCGACTCATCAGGTTGCTCAGCAGTCGGATCTTCCTTCTGTTTCTTCTCTGGTGGTGGAACAGGTGGAACATCATTTGGCTTGTCCGGTGTGGGTAGTAGTGAGCCAACTGGCAGTAACAGATTCCTATGTAGTGTCCTCGAACGGCCTTGTCCATCTTCCCTCTGAACACAGTACACAGGGATTTCAGGATTGAGTTGATCCAGCACTACATAGACATCTTCCTCCCATTTATCTGCCAGTTTGTGCTTCCCATCAAAAGCAAGCTACTTTACTAAAACCCGGTCGCCAACACTGAGAGTAGCTCCTCTAATCTTGATGTCATACTTCCCCTTTTGTCTGCTTCTTGCCTTGTCAGCTGCTTCTGTTGCCAACTTGTAGGAATCTGCCAGACATTGTCGCAACTCCTTGATGTAAGCTGTTTTGGATTGCTGTCCAGCTGGGGCACCTATTCCAAAAGCTACGTCAACAGGTAAGCGGGGTTGTCTTCCAAACATCAAGAAAAAGGGACTCTCCTTGGTGGAATCATGTCTAGTGGCGTTGTAGGCGTGGACCAATGGTGCTACATGGGACTTCCAGTTGGTCTTCTTGGATGACTTCAGGGAACCGAGCATGCTGATAAGGGTGCGATTAAACCGTTCACACATCCCGTTCCCTTGGGGGTGATATGGTGTGGTTCTACTTTTCTCGATCCCTGCTAACTTGCACAATTCCTTGATCAGGTTGCTTTCAAAGTTGGCTCCTTGATCTGAGTGTAACCTGAGAGGAAAACCATAGTGGACGAAGAAATTGTTGAATAGGACTTCTGCGGTGGTCTTAGCAGTCATGTTCCTTGTTGGGTAGGCCTGGGCATATCTCGTGAAGTGGTCCATCAGAACAAGAATATGCTGGTATCCCCCTCTTGACATCTCCAAGGTCAGGAAGTCGATGCACACAAGCTCAAGCGGCTGGTAAGTTGCGATGGATTCTAGTGGGGCTTTGCCTTCTGTTGTTGTTCTTTGGAGACATCTGTCACAGTTCTTTATCCACTTGTCCACATCTTTAGCCATCCCTGGCCAGTAGAATCTTTCCCTGCAGAGTGTAACTGTCCTGTCTCTACCAAGATGGCCAATATCGTCATGAAGTCCACTGAGGGCTCTTTCGATGAAATCCTTTGGTAGCACCAGCTGCTTCTTCTCTTCACCATCAGATGTTGTTATCCGGTAGAGCACTCCTTGTTGTAGCTGCAGGTGTTGTAATTCTCTGGCCAGACCTATGGGAATGTCCTCTGGGATCTTTCCATGATGAAGGCTTGTGATGACTCTATATAACACTGGATCTCGATTCTGGGCCTTCCTCCAATCTCTCAGTGTCATACTGGTAAGATTTCCTCTGGGTCCGTTCTCTGGGTCTTCGATCACCTCTGCAGCGAGACATAAGCTCTCTATGTAGTTGTTGGCTTGACAACTACCACAAATAGCCTTTATACTGCTGGCAGCAATCTTTGCAGTCTCCTGCTGTGGCAATCTTGAAAGGGCATCAGCATCAGAATTTTCCTTGCCTGGACGGTACTTGATGTCGAAATTAAAGGAAGCCAGTGCTGCGAGCCATCTGTGTCCAGTAGCATCCAACTTGGCTGTCGTCAGGACATAGGTGAGAGGGTTATTGTCTGTCAGGACGGAGAAGTTGTGTCCAAAGAGATAATCATAGAACTTCTCTGTGACAGCCCATTTCAAAGCCAGGAACTCCAGTTTATGCGCAGGATAGTTCTTTTCTGCCTTGTTAAGTCCTCGACTTGCATAAGCAATGACCCTCTTGTGTCCATTCTGTACTTGGTAAAGCACTGCTCCCAGTCCTTGTGCGCTGGCATCTGTATGCAGTTCAAAGGGTAGGGCATAATCTGCATATCCGAGAACAGGTGGTGACGACAGTATATCTTTCAGTTGTTGGAATGCTGCTGACTGTTCTTGACCCCAAGTCCATTTTGTCTTTGATTCTGTAGTCTTCTTGTATCGACCTTTCTTTTTCACTGTAGGAGGCAACAAATCAGATAGAGGACGGGCGATACAAGAGAAGTTCTGGACATACTTCCTGTAGTATCCAGCAAATCCAAGAAATTGACGCAGATCTTCAGGATTCTTTGGTGTTGGCCAGTTCACAATCTTCTCTATCTTGGCAGGATCGGTCTGGATTCCTTCAGCAGAGACAATGTGTCCAACGAACTTGGCCTGTTCTTGAAAGAAATCACATTTCTTGGCAGCTAGCTTCAACCCACTCTCCCTGAGGCGTTGAAAAATCCTCTCCAGACGACACAGATGCTCCTCAAACGTGTCAGAAAATACAATAAGGTCGTCCAGATAAATCATACATATTTCCAGGTGAAGTTCTCCCAGCATATGTTCCATCTGTCGTTGGTACGTAGCTGGTGCATTTACAAGTCCAAATGGCAAACGATTGAACTCATAAAACCCCAGTGGGCCGACTGTGAATGCTGTTCTTGCCTTGTGGTCTTCCTCAACGTCAATCTGATGATATCCGGACTTCATATCCAGCACGGTGAAGAATTTGGAACCTGCAAGACGATCAAAGATTTCTTCAATGCGAGGCAGAGCATAGGCATCTTTAATAGTTCGTCGATTTAATGATCTAAAGTCCACACACATCCTTAAAGATCCATTTTTCTTGCGGACAAGAACAACATTCGAGGCCCAGGGACTGTAAGAGCGTCTTATAATACCACAAGCTAATAGTTCATGTAAATGGTCTTTCACTTCCTGGAACATAGATGGTGGTATGCGCCGGTGTCGCTCTTTAAATGGTGTGGTGTCTGTCAACTCTATTCTGTGTTTCACTTCGGTGTAGTGGCCAATGTCCAAGTCTCCGGTGGAAAATACATCACTGTACTGTAAGAGTAGTTCTTCACCTCTCTTCTTTTGTTCCTCGGTGACTTTGGGAGATATCTTTACCTTGTCCAGTGGATGTTGTTTCTCTTCAGCAGCTACTTGCTCCAAGTCAATAGGGACTATCTTCTCTATCTGGACAGGCTGTATCTCACAAATGATGGCCCTAGGGGAGACAACCATAGTCTGATTTGTGAGATTGGCCACTTGCACGGGAACTTCTATCATCCTCTTGTGTTGATAGCGGAATAAAGCAGGAGCTATCTCCAGTCCAGGTGGTATAGCAGACTTCTTACTTGGCTGGAGCATGACACATGTATCTCTATAGGTTGTCTGAAGGATCCTAACGTCTGCCCCTTGACATTGGTCCTCTCCCATTTAAATGACCTCGCCTCAAATGATCCACTCTGACCCGACATCCTAGTTGAATGTGACCGTATTGCCCACACCGATAACACTGAACTCCAGATTCCAATGCCGCATGCTCATAGTTCTGTGACGAGTTCCCATGCTGAAGTTCCTGTGGGTGTGGTTGTGATTGGGGCATCTGTTGGGGTGGCATCTGGTTCATCCGTTGCTCCATGCGATCAATCTTTGCTGATAGCTTGTTGATGACTCCCAAAAGATTAGAAACATCAGATGCAGGCTGAGATGGAGCAGACATCTTGGCTGGGACGGGTTTCTTCTGCAACTCTAGATTCCTCTGTTCATGGTCATACTCCAGTCTTCGTATGGCAACTCGCAGCTGATCAAAGTCCTGTATGGCATCGAACTTGTGACCTGACGAGTCCTTAAGCTCTTGGCGTAATCCTGACCAAAACACAGTCCGAAGAACTGAAGTAGCCCTATCTTGCTGAATCTGACCCTGCATTACAAGTCTATCAAGCATATCCTCAAGGCGACAACCCCATGTCGTGGCATCCTCCTGAATTCCTTGACGAGCACTATAGAACTGAGCCATGAGGGCTTCTCCTTGCTCAGTGATTGAAGAACTATACACGCTCTTGAGTTTAGCTAATATAGTAGTGAGTGAAGCAGAGTGACCTAATCGCATAACAATGCGAGCTGCATCGCCTCTCAAGGCTTTCCCAAGTGCTTGCTTTATCTCTTCTTCAGAATGTGAATGAGAATCAATTAAACCTTCGATCTCATAACACCAAACATCAAAAGGTGATTCGGATTTGGCATTAGGATCACCAGAAAAAAGAAGAAAACCTTGGAGGTTGTTTCAGATTAACTGAACTAAACAGCCCTTGGGCTGGCGGACCTGCTACTTGACCGGAATCATTAGATTCATTGGATTGAGGGTTGGCCGCTGCTCCCTGAGATTCCTGAATGGAAACCATAGCTGTTACCCTTTCACGTAACTCATCTTCAGTTTTACACTTAGGTTTAACACCTAACTTTTCAAAACTTGCAATGGCCAACTCTTCAGCAGAAAGTTTAGACATGACTAAGTGTGGTATGAAGCAAACATATGCACGATAATATTTACCAAGTGCAGATGCTGCGCTCCTAAGTCATAACTCTTGAAAATGGGAGATAGGTTGCATAAATGGGAGATGGGCTGCATGTATGCAGGTAACTAAACTTGAAATGTAGTTTAGGTTTACATATTAAATGTTGAATGTTTAACTTACATTTAATTTATGTTTAATGGATAGATATTAGAAACTAACTTGGTGCTATAATAAATAAGTTAGTAACCTAATACCCAAACTTACCAGGATACCTCGACCAAAATGACAAATAATTCCAACCATTGACACACAAGACCAAAGGCAGATAGGACAGGAATACTAAGTGGTGCAGTGTTAACCCAATACTTACCTGCCTGATTTAAACTAAAGTAGGGCTTAACGAAACGTACTAACTAATTAGCTAAACAACTTATGCATCTGATTTATGGATAAATTAAGACTCTAAGTGTAACTCGCCAATATACTCTTTTACGGTATATGCCAAGTAAAATAACTAAACCGTAGGCACTTAACTAACTAAATAGTTATACACTCAAGATCTAATTCAGTAACTAACTTAACTAAACAGTTTACAGATCTAAACTAACTTAACTAAACAGTTTACAGATCTAAACTAACTTAACTAAACAGTTTGCAGGTCTAAACTAACTTGCTAAACAGTTTGCAGGTCTAAACTAACTTGCTAGCTAGCAAACTAAACTAACTAAGCTCAGCTATCACACATAACAGGATGTAACATATCGAGTTGCAAACTGGCACAGTCTTCCATACTGATGACACAGTTATACTGATGTAGCACACATACAAATCTGTGACACAGCACAGCTAATATCAGAAATGGTACCATAATATTGTCCATGGATTCACACATGATGAGATGTCGAATTTATCAGCTTGCAGGGGGGATCCAACAGTCTGTATGCATGGTTATCACATGGTCATATGAGTCACATAGATACAAAGTGTCACTTTTCACTTGAGGCAATTATCAATGGGGTACTATAGGCTAGCACAATTACCTATAGCATGATGAGACGATCACTCACACTTATGGGGTTCCAACGTAGGGTGACGTTACTCCCGGGATGTCCTCAAACCAGTCCGAAATCCAATCCCACCAGGGATGCCATTGTAACAGAGGTATTCGCATTACCGCATTACACTGTATGTAGATTCAATGATGACGAACACTTGTGTGTGGTTTCAGGGATTTATTCGGCGCTGGTTATGTTGGATAAGGAGATCCCCAGTTGGCAGAATTATAACAAAACGCCCTGAATAATAAAATATCCATCAATTAATACATGTCTCCTGTCATAAAATACGTATCATGTTATGCATTCAATATGGTTACAACTATACTTTTAATACATCTGATAACTGTCAATCATCCAGATTTAAGTAAAGACATGTACTCTGATTATTACTCACATATATAACAATTATAATTACTAATATTTACAATCACATTCTGAAAACAATACCTCACCTCGTCTCAGGGACGCAGGCAGAATAGTCCAACAGGTACTAAAACATCTGATTCTTAGTGAACCTAAATAAACAAAATATTACCTAAGTATACTGCTAGTATATACAGATATACATCATAAATGGCATTAGCGAACACATAAATAGTTATTTACCCTAATACATACATAAATATGCATATAGAAACTAAACCTTATAATAAACATGCATGATATACATTACTGTATCATGCCAATCATAAAATAGCTAATACATATACTTATACATACTACATGTGCATGATACAAATTAAAGCATCATGATAGTATACTAGTGTACTGGTACACAATACATCATATATTTGTCTAAAATACTAAGCATGCATATAGTTATAGACAAACACCTTACATACACTAAATATGATAAAACACTATTCCTTAAAACATGTAATCTAATACACTAAATCCTAATAGCCCTACTATACATGTAATACTAAAAGATCTAACTTAACTTACCCCATAATGTGCTGGTGCTGTGCAGGTATTGCAAGTCTCAAGGAGAAAATGTATACTGCCACAAATGAAAGGCAGTAGAAGGCTTTAAATATGATGAGAAGCTGAAACCTTTGAAACAATAGGAACCTTGACAACAGGCCAATGCAGAGATTGAACCTGACACAGATCACTTAACCTTAACAATAGACCCCAAGCTAGCTTACCAGTGAGTTAGTTGAACAGTGCAAGTGTTAGTGTTAACACAGGCCAGTTTGATAATGATAAAGTTTTATACCTAAGTTTAAAATAATGAAGTTTAACACATTAAAAATGACATTTATTTACACACTGTTACATATCCATATTACATTTTAGGATATTCTAATGTTCAGAGGTGTAACATTTCTTTTGGCGTTCAGTTTATATGTCATGTAATAGGTGTCTCATAACTCAACTTTGCGTAATGTGATTTTGTAAACACTATCCAATATCGCAGAAAGCTCATTTCAGCGTTCGTGTTTGTGTCAATTTCCAAAACATCCCAAATGATTCTTGGTTTATTGTTGATGTTTCAGAATTAACATTGGTTATTTGATGAAAAACAGATATCAGTGATCAATAATATGAGTCAATAACTGATTTTTACATCTTAAAACATACACCTAAAAACGCTTTGAATCATGATTTCGTAATGTGTCCAAAATGGCGATGTTTACGATGTCAATTTTCAGGTCATATTCAGCACTTTTGCTTTGCCTAAGAAGAAAGTGGATGATGTCAACAAGCAGAATATTTCCCACAGAAATCAAAACTGGGAAGTCTATTTGTGTGTGTGAATTGTTTTTAAGTTTATTAGATTATTGAACAGAAGGAACATACATGTCCCTGTGGCATCAAAGGGGGTTATTAGGTACTGAGTTAAAATTATGAGGTTTCCCATGGTTCCTTTAGGGGAATGTTCAGATAACGCTTCGAGGACTACCAGAAAGAAAGACAACACAAAACCTAGGAAATTTTATTCAAGCTGAATCTGAGGATTTAGAAACAAGTTCAGATAATAAGGTAATCAAGTGTAAGAGGAAGTATTCTAAGAATTATTATCATGGTTGATAATGTTCCAAGAAGGTAATATTCACCTCACTGCAAATGTAACTGTGCAGAGTTCTCAGGGTATAATGACCATCACACTCAATGCTGGCCTTCTTGTAATTTGACATGTAATGTGAGATGAGAGACAAAAGTTAGCTCCCCTTATTACCTAAGTAGAAACTAACAGATAGATCTATACTGTTTTCTACATCACTGGAGAGACCTAAAGGAATGTGACTCTCGGTTGTAAATAACTGGTAATGGATGGTATTTCTATTGGCAGAATAATGTTTGATAAGTTTCATGTTTGATATTTATGTTTCAGACACTCGTGTTTCTAGCAGTGGTCTTTATTTGGTGGAGCCAGTGATCACATGTACATATTCTGCTAAAGGTCCTCCAGGGAGGAAGGATGTCTATATTTCATACTTGAGGTGGAATGTTAAAGATAGAGGCAGAAATACCTCGACAACCATACCTCTGTGTTTCCTTGTGTCCATGCAGATTACAACCGTAACTGGTGACCTATCACCTTGGAGACTTTTGGGAAAGGTAGGTGTAGTTCTTTGAATCAGTTTCAACGCAATAGTTGTAGTTCAGGAGTTGCTTTTATTCTTTTCTCTCAAGTGCATCATGATTCATATTTATATTGAAACGTCAATATTTGTAGTTCTAGGCAGATACATATTCAACACAAGTGTCTCTCAAGTTCATCATGATTCATATTCATATTGAAACGACAATATTCTGGATTTCTAGGCAGATTCGGGCCAATTCGACGCAAGTGTCCTTGCTATAGATTGACTGCAATGAAGAAATAAGGGAATCTATAGTTCCATATAATGTTGTCAGTATCGCCGCATTTACATTCTCAACTTCATCAATAAAGATACACTTTTGACAAAGTTTTACATTTCTAACTACCTGCAGTGATGAATAATGTTAGTAAACTTACATGACTACTATTTCAGTAAAAAACCCTTATTACTTGTTAAATTAATGACTTTGAAAGCCCAAATAAAACGAAAACCTGAGAAAATCTATTTTTAGAACTCGTGCAAAGCGAGCGAGTTTTGAATGCAGCAAACAGTATTGAAAACGTGGGATACACAGAAATATCAATAATTCATATTGCAGAAATGCTGCTGATAGCTTCATTACCTATAACACAAAGTGTTGACAAGCAGAAAATGTAAAAGTTACTCATACCGTTTGTAGACCATCTGCTCTCTGACACGCTCACATGGCAAGCAGGCGACATACTGATCACGAATCACATAGCTACCCAAAGTTATCTCCCCTTGACACCCCTAAATGCAACCCGCTAAAATATTTAACGACAAACAAAAGTATAGGCGTTTCTGTCAACCATAACATATTTCATACAAACCCACAAAAACGAAAAAATTCAAAATATATACAGTTTTGGCCGTAACAGTAGGACTCCTACACTTTTAGCCTTTTGGGAAACAAAGTTTCTCTTTTGCTTGTCCAAATTTTATTTATTATTTTATGAGCAGAGTGAGCTTATATCATACCTGACATCTGCTTTACAATATAGGTCACAATCAAAGTCACATAAGAAATACATTTGCCTGATTCTTAATGGAAACATAAAGAATGACATCTTATTGGTATAGTAACTATAGTTCCAGAGTGGGATTCAAAGCACAGACCATCTGATTTTAGAATGTATGCCTTGACCAAAGATGTTATTAGTCTCATCAGAAAGCAGACAAGGTAAGTTATCATGTGTATGATCACTGCATATCCTGGTACATACTCCACTGTTAATGAAAGGTACATCCCACATTGCATTATATATTTTGATGAAATTATTTGATGCAAACATGTTCAGCCATGTCTACATAATAATGATAATAATAATGTGTCCATTTTTATTGTGCTAAACTCCACACTAAGTATGCTCATAGCGCTACCAAACAAACAAACATAGCACATTATTACCCCGGATAACCCAAGTTGCCTGTTAGGCGCTAAAAGGTTATAGTCACATGACTTATCCCACCAGGTACTCATTTGCCTTAGTTGAGACCACATGTATCACATGTGGTTCGTTATTTGTGGGTGGTGGTGGGGTGTGGGGGTGGGGTGTGCCTGAAATCCTAGAAACTCTCAGGAGTAAAGCTGCCAAACACGGTCACCCATTCAACTGACTTGTGACCGGAGCTCAATGCACAGGACCACATGCTACCACATGACCAAAGATGGTAATGCCTACATTTAGCTTGCAACGAATGGATGTCATTTGTGGGATGACACCACAGTCAGTTACATCCAATTTCCATTTTGTCAAGTTTAACCAAGTTTTAGAGAAATTCTATGGGGTGCACCATACAAATCTTGCCAGCTTGATCCTTCACCTACTTTGAGTGTCCAAGAATATACTGAGCGTTGTGTGATATATTTGCAGTGTTGGACACTGTAGATCATGTCGTTCTTCTAGCTCCAATGGAGAGTATACTTGGAACAGGTATTCCACTAACAGGAGCCGATAGGTGAAAGGATAATGAGGGCCAAGGTGAACTAAATTGAATTTATCCAGAACAATTTCCTGTGAGATGTTCTCCAGGGATTAGTTTTAGTCTCTGTTCTGTTCTCGAAGTACATAAACACAATTTGGTTCCATCTGTAAACAACTTCTGTTCTGTTGCAACCAGTAGTTGTTCCTTTTGACATAATATTCACATCAAGCTCACAATAAATCTTCTGATCATACAGCTAGTGGTGTTCCAATTATCGAAAATAATCGAAATTTGATCAAAAGAAGGATTAAAAATAATTATCGATTGTGCAAAACATATTTTTGATTAATCGGAAGTTTGTCGCTTTAGTATAGCACACTAGTAGTATATACAATGGGGGTTTTGGACCAGTTCCAACAAAAGCCTCTGCAAAGCCTTATTTCACAAGTAAGGCTTTGGTCGGCCCCTTAGCTCTTGCTACCATTACCCCTACTATAAAAAAGTTTGGGACGATAGCGGGGTGCAAACGCCTAATGTTACACCTCCTAACCGAGCCACTTAACCGACTGAGCTACCGGGGGTATGGTTGAAGCATGTCGGTTTAACGGGTCTATCCTGGGATTGTATCATCCAATACTGGGCTGCGTCTAACGTGCCGCTATGACACTATGCCACGTTGACCTCGATGAAACAGTTTAATGTGAATCGCCTATGATCTCTTTGGTGTTTGTAATAAAGGCTTGCTGGGCTTTTTTCACACCTTGTTCTATGTACTTTTTTTTCTCATCCTCGCTGATAGCAGACTTACGAGACTTGGATCGAATCTCTTGTTTCATTTTGTTATATTTTGTGAGTTCAGATAGAATTGAACGAAACTCCTCCTCTGAGATCTTACTGTCAGTGAGTGCCGTGGATATACGCTCACTTACCGTGTTCAGCTTTGCTTCGGCCAGAACCCTGATCTCGTCGTGTTTCAATGCCTTACGATGCAGTCTGTGTGATGCAAACTTAAGCGCCAACCCTAACACCCCTGCCACCCCAGCTGTTATTTCAATGCCTAGCACTACGGGGGTAGCCACGATGGTAGCTAACAACCCAACACCTGCCGCCCCTAGTCCCATGCCGGTTGTCATAAGGGCAGTATCAGCCCCGTCTACGATATTGAAAGCTCTATGGTACTTTTTACATAGTGCTTTCCGCGTGTCGCGGTCTTGTTCTAGTTGGCGTTTCACATCGCATAACTGCCTCAAGCGGAACCCGTCTACAGTTTCCAGGGTCTTCGCTACTTCCTCTACGACTGGGTACAGTCCCATCCTATAATATATATTACAAAAGATATTTTAATTGGGTATCACTTAATAGTTGATTAATGTACTTGAGGCTTACAAGACCTATGTTCTTGTTTATGTAAATATAGGGAAATGAAATAGATGTATAGTTTTCTACACGAACTATAGGGGGGTTTATTAAGGGGGGTAGCAACCCTCCGCGGGCCGAGCTCCGTATGACGATACTACAATGGCGGTTATTATATGGACCAATAGATAAGCCTATATTCACCCCACATAAAATACCCAATGAGGAAAACAAATCGTCGTCTTTAAAAAAGAGTTTTATGATTAATGTGGAGTCTGGATGCATAAACATGTTAGATAGTGGGCCAGTGGATGCTAAATATAGTTCAAGCCCGGGTGCATCTAACATGTAGCCCCGACGGCCTGGGATTTTGGAAACTTCAATAGGTTCAGAACTTTTTTTAGGTTGAAATCCCCCGAGCAAGATACCACCGTTCTTAATTTCGGTGATATACCCAGGGATAGACCCATCACTACGAAAAGAGATGTAAGGTGAGGTGAGAACTAAGTTGATTAACCATTCAGGCTCTTTTAAATCTGATAGCGGCACCTGCCTATACACGTTGTCTTTGAAGTGTAAGACGTACAAGGTGTCTTCCTCACCAGATTGATCGAATCCCTCTGTGTCCCCTAGATCGTTAAGTGTAGTGTTGGGGCGAAGCCAAGACATTGCTATAATACTATTACGATATAATTTCCAACTGGTTTTCTGATAATAGTTCAGGGGTGCACTTCACCCCCATGAAGTGTATGTTGTCGGGTAGGAAGATCTTGGTTAGTGATACAGTGTCTTCCACGATCACGGTGACACCCTGCAGACTGGTTTTGGAGTCGACACCCACCCGCACGTAAACGTTGCAAACGTGATACTGTTGTTGTTTCCTCCACCGGAGTTTGACCCCCTTCACGATTTCGACATCATCCTGCGATGGTTCCCCTAGGTAGACTTGGATGATCAGTGTTGAGTTCGCCGGTAGACTCTCCAGTATCCTGACCACGCCTTCAAATTCAGACACCAACTGCAATGTCAACTTTTGCATTCCCACTTTACTCGATAGCATGTGGGCTGCCATACTGGCGAGTGGGCTGATGACTATGCTACGTCTCTGAGTCGGGACGTAAGCCACGAGCAGGGTTCCGTTGTTCACGACTTTGTTTAGGTGGTTGTCTTTGTTATCCGTGAACACGTAGGGGGAGCCGAGCCTAATATTGAGAAACCAGTCGGCTTTATCGGGTAACAACACCCACTTGTCATCATCGGTGAAGACGAGTGTATATGGCTTATTTCGGGCGACGGTAGTGCTCTCAACATCGGTTAAGTCGAACAGTTTGCCCCCGAACGATGGGTATATCATCCATTTATCATCACCGGTGCGGACTAGGGTGTACCGAAAGTGTTGACAACCGCTTCTTGAGGTATCTACTATATCACTTAGGTTGCTAGTACCACCATTGAGGGACTTCAACGCGTTTGTAAATGCTGTTTTCAGTTGCAAAGCATACAATTTACCATCTACTCCGGGTCGTCGAATCGCGCGGTGTCCCCCGAGGTCGGAGATCCCCACATTGATGCATTTTTCAACTTCATTCCAGGACCTTGTGCGCTGGTCATTTTATGTGCAGCGCTATGCTGAGGTATCCTATATTCATGAGATTATGATTTATATCTAACACCGATATTATCAGCTCAGGATGTTGCCCTGGGTTAACC